AAGAGCCACGTTGCATCACGAGCCCTCATTCGAGCCAGGACCCATATTACGTGAGGGACTGGGTGCCCCTACCAGATTTTTCTTTTTATGTTTCTATCACCTTCTCTGCTATGAACTCAAGTAACCTTTCCTTTAAAGATTTGAATGATTCTTGAACGAACAGTTTTCTAATAGTTATCATCTTTCCAAGCTACGAGGAAGGCCAAAACACCGAAACATCAGCCGAAGGGCCTAGGGGAGATTTGAAGGGACTTCCAAAAATCGTGGTCTTCCAGCTCAAAAAATGAAACTTCAAATTTTCAATTCTACCCCATATAGACTAACCATAAGACAGACCAATAAAGTAAGCAACGGTAGTGTCAGCTAGTGCTCAAATTTGTAGTAGCGTCTGAGCTTGACTCCCAACGAACCATGGAGTTCCTGTCCCATCCCATAATTGGAGTAAAATTGTAATACAAGTTAGGGTGTTGCTTTTCTATTATCGAGTGAAATGAAAGTCCTCCCAATCCTTCAAGATTAGAGAAAATGAAAACATTTATGTAAAAAAGCCCGATCAGGGCTCAAAGAAACTTACCGGACATGTTCCATTTACGGTGTCCTGCTTCATCATGAGTCGTATTTGGCAGGCAAAATTGATGTCACTTTTGTCAGCGAATTTGAACACTCGAGATCGAGCGAATGCCCTCAATGGGGTCGGATATGTTAGGGAACTGAGGAGTTCTTCGTCCGTGGAGCACCTGTGGGAGGTAGTCATACATATCAAGCTGTTTTACAGAACTGAAGGAAAGTATTTGCATGGAATGAGAGGTGAGGATGGAATTTTCAGAATCGAAATATCAGTCGAGCGGAATAAGTTTGTGTTGGATCAATTACGAAGGATAAATTTTTTTCGCATAGATGTTTTTTCGGCGAATTATCAGCCCAGTTTTTGGGATGCACCTACAGTGCCGATCCAAAACACCTCGTTTGACACTTTTTGCACCAACTTTTTTAATCGGATCACCGAAAGATCGAATTTTTCACAATTTTTTTTGCTGACACAGTTTAGTACAGTGACGTACAGACTGGAAAATAGATCGGGATTCCACTGGGATGAAATCAATACTGCTTTTGCATTTTTTTTTTACAAAAAAAGGGAATGGCCTACGCAATGACCCGCACTCACAGCCAGTTTAACCAAAGCTTTTTTTCCTTACAGGATAGTTCGGCATGGAGCGATGTTTCCCTTAAGGAGAACGGTTTGCTGACGGATTCTTGTTTAGGGGCTTGATTACCAGTAGTGTGGTACTGCTCCCCCATCGTCCGAAAAGACAAGGTTAGCTACATATGAAACTGTCCCATTGATTCAGAGAAAAACATTTTTAATGCGAAAATCGGATAAGTTCGGGTTCGCTAACCCTGTAGGAAATGTATTTTACTTCTGTAGCTAGGACACATGCTGTGACAATATATGTCATAGACTGTTTGCCATGGGTATTCGTCTGGTGATGAAAGGGAATCTAATGAGCTCGTTGATCCATAGAGCAACAAGCAGTTTATACTTCCTGTCAACATGCTACATGCCCCTTCATAATTAGCTCGAAGAAAAGATAAATGATCTCATCCCAAGAGTGGAGAGGTCCCCAGTTAATAAAGAAGCTTAACAAGCAGTAACATACCCGCTTTCGTCTATCACTGTAACCTTCTCGCTACCGCCATCATCGGCCACGCATGAGTGGACCTGAACACCAATATGGTCCGTTTGGAATTTGATAAACGAGGTGACTAAGTTACGTACCTGCATGCAGTAAATGGTGCTGTGAACCGGATCGCCGCACGTCCACAGATGGACGACAGAATCGCCAATGGTGACTATAGCAGGTGAACTAGTGCCAGACTGGGAGCTGTTCGAGCTCATTTCCACATTATATTGGCATGAGGGCAATGGAATCGGTTCCGATGCCAGGGGTGACGGCGACTGAGAGCTGAAATTCCATAGGAAATGTTCATTTTGTAATGATTTTCAGAAGAACTCAGAAAAAAAGAATCGAAACGAATTGAGAGGAAAGACAAATGTCAATACAAAAGCCAGAAAAGAGCTTCTCTGAGATTTCTACAGGATATGACCCTTTAGGAGAACCTATGAGGCGAACATATTTCACCGAATTGTCTTGAATATTTACCAACATGATTTCTAAGCTACACTTCATCTGAGCTTAACTTACTTGACTCGCATCTCAGTTTGAACAACATTGTTGTCTTCCCTATAATAGCATTCGATACGGTAAGCTCGATCACGGTAGGTGAGCAGTGTACTATGATGTGCCACTACCATCACACCAGACATAATTAGTCCACGAGGATTGATCTGCAAAATA